CTTCTAATTTTATTTATTTATTTATTTGTGTGTGTGTGTGTGTGTGTGTGTGTGTGGCCAGCTCAGCCCACCAGGGGGCGGGGCTGGCTGGCCTGTGGTGCTGGGGAATTGAACCGCGGTCCCTGTGCTTTGCTAAGCTTGTTCTGAGTAGGTGCTTTAGACCACTGAGCCATCTCACCAGCCCCTGCCTCAGCCTTCTAAATGCTGGGATTACCCAGCATTTAGGTATGTGCCACCAGCTCATCTGTATAAAAACTTCAGAGCTTTTATACAGATGCATGAAAATTGTGTTGTCATTTTCATGGTTATATGAACAGGGTGGGGAAAATAGTTGGAATAAGATTTAAATGAATTCCTGACTATTTGTGGATTGTGGATATATAGAGTTGCTGGGTGTGGTGGCAAATACCTGTAATTCTACCACTTGGAAGGCTGAGGCAGGAGGATTGCCACATATCTGAGGCCAGACTGGACTACATAGTCAGTTCAAGGTAAACCTAAAACTACATAGTGAGACCTTGTCTCAAAGGAGAAGTAGGAAGAAGAGGAGAAGGAGGAAGAGGAGGAGGAAGAAGAAGAAGAGGAGAGAGAGGAGGAGGTGAAAAGGAGGTAGAAGAGGAGGAGATGAAAGAAAAATCAGACATAAAGAATTAATATGAGTTTCAAACAATTTAAGGCCTGCAGTATAGCAAATATCTTCTACATATTCACAGAAGAAAGTCTTAGGAACTTCTAAAAAAGCATGAATTTTGGTCCCAACAGTCTGACGCATAGGAGTCTTTCAAACTTGTAAAGGTAATGAGATCATTTCAGAGGGTCTAAATTAGACATCTCAGGCGTTGTAACAGAGTATGACAGATTGAGGGGCACGCAGGGCTGTTTTCTGAGGTTTCTCCTCCTGGTTTGCATAAAACCACCACCACATTGTATCTCATGAAGCCTTTCCTCTGTGAACCTTATGGACAAGTGGGAGGAGGTGTTGAGGGAGAGATACAGGTATCAGTCAAGCTTGATGTCTTTTCCTCTTATAAAGACCCCAGTGCTAGCAGTAGAGAAAGCCTCACCTTTGTGACATCATCGAACCTCCATTACTTCCTTAAAGGCTGTTTCCCTAAGTGTAGTCACATTAAGAGGTAGAGCTTTGAGGAATAAATTCTGTGGTGACGCAGTTGAGTCCCTAGCAAGGTCTCATTTCTCATCTCCCTTTCTTTGTTGAGACAGGGTTTCCCTGTGTAGTTCAGGCTGGCTTTGAACTCACTATGTTGTTCAGGCAAAACTCGAACTCATGGTGTCTCTCCTGCCTCAGCCTCCCGAGTGCTGGGTTATAGGCATATGCCACTATGCTCCAGTTCACTTCTCATTTTATAATGAAATCAGAATAGACATTCCCAGGGAGAATATTGTTTTTGGGAAGCTTTTCCAACTGTCCACATAATAGCATGTGTGTTCTGTGGTTGTAATGTAAGTTGTATTTCAGACTGTGAGCCACTTGCAGAGAAATGGGAGAGCTGCTACTTCCAGTTGTTCCCTGTAACATGATAACAGAAGCCCACTTTACCCTCTGACTGAGTGGGAGCCAGACAGGGCTGTAACTGCAGTCAGCTTCTTGCTGTTGGCTGTTGGTGGAATTGGTGTCTTCCTGTCTATCTGGCCTGTGGAATTCCCTAGCTCCAGATCCCCTCTCTGGGGATGTCACTGCTCACAATACAGCTAAATCAATTTGTTCTTTCTTCAGGTGATGTGCTGGTGGTCCCCATCAAGCTCCACAAGTGTCCTTTCTGCCCATACACTGCCAAACAGAAGGGCATCCTCAAGCGCCACATCCGCTCCCACACGGGCGAGAGGCCCTACCCCTGCGAGACCTGCGGCAAGAGGTTCACCCGCCAGGAGCACCTGCGGAGCCATGCCCTGAGTGTAAGTGCCTGGCACACAGCGTTCTCCCTGGCCATGTTCCTGGGTCAGGGGCTGTTCCTCAGCTTACCTAATGTGAGGGTAGAGGCGACTTGTCGGTCACTTCTTTGTCTGCTGGGGGATCTTCCAAGAATTCTGAGCATACATTTCTGCTGACAAATTAAAATGTGTGTGTAGTGGCTGTGTCTAGTGGTGCATGTCTGTAATCCCAGCACTTAGGAGGCTGAGGCAGGAGGATTGCTGCGAGTTCAAGGCCAGCCTGGGCTACGTAGTGAGTTTAAGGCCAGCCTGAAGTATACAGCAAGATCCTGTCTTAAAAAAAGAAGAAAAGAAAACATGGGCCAGCGAGATAGCTCAGCGGTCTAAAGCACATGCCTAGGCCAGCTTAAGGCAAGTACAGGGACCATGGTTCAGTCCTCGCCCCCAGGGTGGGCTGAGCCAGCCACACACAAAAAATAAATGAAGTAAAAAGTTGAAAAGAAAAAAAGAAACAGAAAAGAAGCAAAAAGAAGCTGGGTAGTGGCCCATAGAAGAAATTAAATCAAAGAGTAACAAACTTGCTTTCTAAAGGGAAGAGTCAAGAAAGTTTAGATCCTGATCAGGGATGGTTTCGCAGGGCAGAAAGCACCAGGAACTGGACAAGGCCTTATGGGTCTCCCCCACTGGCGTGATGCCGAGGAGAGCTGCGTCCCCAGCTTCCCACCAGCTGCAGTGCCCTGAGGTGGCAGCGGGGCGCTGCCACTGAAGAGCCGCTGGTGGGCAGTGAGGAGGGGTCCAGCCCACCAGGATGTCTCCTTGAACTAGCTGTTGCCTGGGCTTCTGTCTCCATGTGGGCTGGTAATCCCTCCCAGGTATAGGATGCTCAGGCCATTTAGGAAGATTTCGCATTTTTAAAAATATTTTTTAAGATTTTGCATTTATGATCCCCTTTGAACAAGACAATCAATCTGTAAAACCCAACATGAAAATAGTTTGAACTTGAGTGGATGCTGCCAAGAATGTGGGGTTAGACGCTGGACATGGTGGCACGTATTTGTAATCTCAGTTCTTGAGAAGCTGAGGCAGGAGGACTGTCAGTGTGAGTCCAGCTGGACTACAAAAGCAACAACAGCAAAACAGGCTACATGAGGTCTTGGGTTTAGTCTCCAGCACTGAGGAAAACTGAACCAGACTTAGTGCTGCGAGCCTGTGATCTCAGCACTGTGGGAGACTGACGCAAGATCACGAGTTCTCGCCCAGCCTAGGCACTTTAGTTTAGGCGTGGGAGGAAGGGGAGGGAAAGCAGATGAAAGAGAATTAAGATATGTTATGTACATGCTCCAACTCCTGATGGTGACTGGGAGCATTGTATAAATGTATACTAATAAAACTTTTTAAAAACACAGTAACTTAGACTATTTTAAAAAAAAATTTTCATTTAAAATTTTTAAAGGGCCAGCCAAATAGCTCAGCAGATTAAAGCACCTGCAAGCAGGGGCAGGGGCTGGGGGTTCGATCCTGGGCCTGCTGTGCCAGTCCCATCCCTAGGTTGCGCTGAGATGTCAGTTGAGATTGGGCATGGTGTGTGTGCCTGTAATCCCAGCTCTTAGGAGGCTGTAAACAGGTGAATCACTGTGAGTCTGATCTAGTAGTAAGACTCTGAACACCCTATAGACCCTTCCTTAAAATACAGTCAATCAATAAGTTTTTGGCCTTTTTTTTTTTTTTGAGGCAGGGTTTCACTATGCAATTCAGGCTGGCCTTGGACTCTCTTTGTAAGCCAGGCTGGCCTCAAACTTGCAGTGATCCTCCTGCCTCAGCCTCCCAAGTGCTGGAATCACAGGTACGTACCACTGTGCCCAGTTAGGCCTCTTTTTAAAAAGGGGTAAGGACATAGCTCACAGCAGAGGTCTTGGATTTAATCTCAACTGCCACAAACAAGTGAAAGCCCCATGGGACCAGGTAAAATATTGGTAGGACATATGTCTAAAATATACAAATAAGTGTTACAATAAAATAGCGAAGAGACAATCCGATACTGCAGAGGCAAAGGATACAAATCACAGCATCATAAGATGTCTTCCCTCACTCTCCTCACCTGTTGGAATGGTGATAATTGTTGGTTGGACTGCACGAGCTCCTCCCTGTCCCATCCTCCCCTTTGTTGTTCCTGTTTTTTTACCCCCCCCCTTTTTTTTTTCAGTACTGGGTATTGAACTCAGGACCCTGCGCTTGCCAGGCAAGTGCTTATTCTACTGAGCTATCTCTCCAGTTCCTGTTTTTTGAGACAAGGTGTAGCAGTGTAGCTCAGGCTGGTCCTGAACTCGACTCCCCTGCCGGAGCCTCCTGAGGCCTCCCTGATCTGGGGTTAAGAAGAGCGCCACAGCCGCTCTTCTTCTCTTGTGTGTACTCTTCATCTAGAACTCTCAGAGAGAGAGAGGCTCTGACTGATTCTCAGAGCTCCTGCTGACTGGAGTTCCCGCAGGGTGCACACGTTAGACAGTTCTTTTGCAGAGGAGCTCCTGCCCCTGGGAGGAGCTGTATGCACGAGGAGATCAGCTGTCTTTTCAAGGGAGCACAGCTCTGCTCCTGAGTAATAAGCAATGCCCCAGCAAGTGGGGGCCAGGCATCTGCTGACACATTCGGATAATCTATTGCCTAACAGATCTACCTTCCTAATAATGGAACAATCCAAGGTGTGCTTTATAAAAGTCCTGATCAGTTCACTGAGTACCTTTTTTAAAAACTTAATTTTTTTTAATGTATTTGGTACAGGATCTTGCTATGCAACTTGGAATAAGGTTTTTTTTTTTTTTTTTTTTGGTTCCTCGAATGCCTTCAGGGCACTTTTGGCCAGCGGGAGAGTTGTGAGGTTCGAACTCCAGCAACCTGAGGCTGACAGCTTTGTGGAAGCAGCCACTTAAAGGACCGAGCTAGGGCCAGGCTCCCGCAACTTGGACTTGTAGTGATCCTCTTGTTTTCAGCCTTCCCAGGCATGCGCCACCTCACCCCTGACTCCGTGCGCCTGGGGACGGGGCCAGCGTGGCATGTGGTACCAGGAATTGAATCCCGGTCCCTGTGCTTGCCTAAGCAAGCACTTAGTCCACTGAGCTATCTCACCAGCCCTACGTACCCTAAGTACTCTTTAGATGCCAAGCAGTAAGGATCCAGGAACCAATGTGATCCCCTCTACCCCTAGTAAATTTTATCACTAATCTGTGAGAAGTACAAAAAGGAAGACATATAGGTGGGAGTATATAGTTGAGCAACCTAGGATGGCCTAGAGCATCATGGGAGACTTCCTTGAAAGGCTTTAGAAAGGGGGAGGACCTGGTGATGGGGAGGAGAAAATGTTGCATGCATGGCCAGTGGCTTGGAGTGGTAGTGACCTTGGTGAGACTCAGAGAAAGCAAGGGAAAGAGGATAAGAAGTGAGGCTGGGGGAGCTTTGCCCATTAGCTCAGTTGTTTAAAGCAGCACTTGGGCAAATTCAGTCAGGCACATAATACTTCAGTTTGATTCCCAGCTCCAGCATCTGTACCAGACCTGCCCTTAAGGCACCCAGAAGTCACAAAACAAACAAACCAAAAAAAACTCTACAACTTTGGGCCTGGGAGATAGCTCAGTAGAATAAGTGGTTGCCTGGCAAATGCAGGGTACTGAGTTCAATCCCTGGTACCCCCAAAAATAAAATAAATAAAATAAATAAAAAAATAAGAAGTGAGACTGGGGGTCAAGCAGGGTCCAAGTCACACTGGGCCACTAGAGTATGGCTCAGCCGTTTTCGCATGACACATGTCTATTGTGATCACAGGTCCACAGATCCAATCGTCCAATCATCTGCAAGGGCTGCAGAAGAACCTTCACGAGCCACCTGTCACAGGGGCTGCGGCGCTTTGGGCTCTGTGAGAGCTGCACTTGTGTTACAGACATCCAAGAGGACGAAGATGATTTGATGCCCATTAACCTTAGCCTGGTGGAGGCTTCGTCCGAAAGCCAGGAGAAGAGTGACACAGACAATGACTGGCCAATCTACGTGGAATCTGGTGAGGAGAACGATCCTGCTGGAGAGGGTTCAGAGGACAGGCCACGAGTTCGGCGCAACCTAGCAGACCGCGAGACGCTTACATAGCAATAAATTGGTGGGGAAGACGTTCTGAACTGTGTGTCCTTGCTCATTCTGTGGTGAAAGGCACGATTTGTCTGATTTTTGTGGAACCCCAAAAGCATCTTTTTTTTCATTGTCACTATAATTGCAGTTCTGTTAGGCTACATGGTTGGTAGAGTCTGGGTTTTCTGACTGAAAGGACTGACAGCTTTTAATGTGATGCCCTTGTTTTCTGAGGGCTGTGCAGGCTGCTCCTTACTTTTCAGTGAATCAAGGTTGGGTGCGAGGCTTCTTGTTTTTCTGCTATCCATTGAACTGGTTGGGAGGAAGAGAAGAAAACCGCCAAGCTTGTTTCCACATCGCCCTAGGCTTCTGCATGCCTTTTTCATTGTCCTCTTTCCCAGAAAAGGTAGTAAAAATACGTGAAGTTTGCTGATCAGTCTTCCCCTTGCCAGCCCTCTCCTAATGGATTCCACCTTTAAACTTTCTGGGAAAGTATGAAAGAGGAAGTTTCACTGACATGAAGCAGGCAAAGCTGTCTGTCTACACAAGAATAAAAGTAACCTTTGAAAGCTGAGAGTGATTTCAAAGGCTGGAAGTCCTGATGTGCAGATGAGCTTGGGAAGGAGCCAAAAGGCTCCTGAAGGGCACCCTAGAGTGCCCGGGGGAAGAGCCTGTGAGCCAGGGTAGGTGGCTGCCCTGCCTGGTTTGAGATTTGTCTGCTACACACACACACACACACACACACACACACACACACACTCTGATATCAGATATCTTCACTAATTCAAAATGCTCTCCTGTGTTTCCCATTTCCCAGAGACATCGCTGTGTAACCTGGAAACGTAACCACCCCCGACTATGTTTTACTCAGTTTACACCCCAAACTTTAATTGGAGGGAAGGTGCAGGTTCATCTAAATCATTTAGCATTTTCAACCTTTTTTTTTTTTTTTTTTTTTTTTGCAGAACCGGGGATTGAACTCAGGTCCTTGTGTTTGCCAGGCAAGCACTTATTCCACTGAGCCATCTCCCCGGCCCATTTAGCATTTAAAAGACCTTGGGCTGGGGTGATAGCTGAGTGGTTTAAGTGCCTGCCTGGCAAGTGCAAGGTACTGAGTTTAATCCTGAGTACCGAAAAAAAAAATTCTTAAAAGACCTTGAAAGAAAAAGATTAATAGATTAGGTTTTAAAACTTGTCTGCCCCATATTAGAGCACTTGCTTAGGCAGATGCAGGGACTAGAGTTCAATCTCCAGCTTGCTGTGCCAGCCCTGCCCCTGGGGCGTGATAAAAAGACGATTGAGACTGGGCAAGGTGGCGTGCACCTGTAATCCCAGTGCTTGGGAGGCTGAAAATGGGAGGATCACTATGAGTCCAATCTGTGTAGTGAGACCCTGTAGATCCTGTACTAAATACATTAAAAACAAACAAACAAACAAACAAAAACACAACAAAAAAAGAACCCTTGTCTGCCCACTCTGTAGCCATACATTGTAACAAAAAGAGCCTAAAATTTTTCTCTTTTGAGACAGGGTCTCACTGTGGAATTTGGGCTGGCCTTGAACTCACTATGTAGCCCAGGCTGGCCTCGAACTTGCAGCAATTCTTCTGCCTCAGCTTCCCAAGTGCTGGGATTATAGGCAAGCACCACTATACCTGGCAAGGCTAAGTGTTTTTACAGGGCAGAGGGTACTAGGGATAACGGATGTACTTGAAAGTACTTTAATAATTTTGTCTTATGTTAAAATACCCAAATGAGTTCTAAAAGAAAGCCTCTTGGTTTCCTATAATTTTAGTGCAGTGTGTGTGTGTGTGTGTGTGTGTGTGTGTGTGTGTGCCTCTTGAATTAAAAAAGCATTATCAATGAACTTCTAAGTATTGATCTGATGGTTGAAGAGGTAGAAAATTCTGATTTGAAGTTGTCCCTTTTGCAGTGCTAGGGGAAAGTGTTCTACCACCATACTGTATCTCCAGGCCCTAGAAAACTGTTTAAAAGACACTTCTTGATGGTAGTTGTAGTTCTAGGATGGTGCTTGTCAGATTGTGGCTACAGGCAGGCACTGCTCTGTAAATTGTGTTCTGAGACAGGCAAGTCAGAAAAAATCTTGTGATACTTGTTTTCCCCATGGTCCTGGGGATTGAACCCTGAGAGGACTGAGAAACATCCCCAGCTCATTGTATTTTTCCATTTTGAGACAGTCTCATTAAGTTTCCCAGCCTCAGCAGTCCCAAGCCACTGGGGTTACAGGTGTACATGGCTGTGCTCAGGTTTTATGAAATATTGACATTCTGTGACATGTGACACCCACACATGGGATCAAGTGGCCTCATCTGGAACAAGGTGTAGAGCAGCTCAAGGTGGCACCTGTGAGCCCCTCACACGAAGGCTAGATCCAGGTCATACAGGGATCAGAGACTGTTCTACAGGAGACTAGAAATTTAAAAACTGGTCTTGGTGGGGGAGATGGCTCACTGGCATAAGTTCCTACCTGGAAAACACAAGGTCCTGAGTTTGATCTCTGGTACTGAAAAGGGAGGGGGGAGAGAGAGAGAGAGAGAGAGAGAGAGAGAGAGAGAG